AGAGAGAGAGAGAGAGAGAGAGAGAGAGAGAGAGAGAGAGAGAGAGATAGAGATAGAGATAGAGATAGAGATAGAGATAGAGATAGAGATAGATAAGGATAGATAGATGAATGGAAAAAGTGCGAGAGGAAGATGAAATTTGCACCGTCAAGGGACTGTATGAGAGAAACCAATCCGATGTGCACTCGATATTTGCTTTGTCTTGCTCATTCATTCAATCATTCATTCGTATTCCTCACCGCTGTCATCGTCGTCGACGACTGTCTTTTTGCGTATGTTGGATGATTAAGAGCAAGATACGAGACTCGCTCGAGAGAGTGAGCGAGAATATGATTGTTGTGATAAGTGGAAACTTTATAGCTGCTTTGACGGATTCTTTTCTTAAATTGCCTGAGCTCGTATATCTTCATTTGCCTCGTTTTATCACTCTTTTTAGCTCTCACTCTCTCTGTGCCATCAAAACCATCAAATTCGTTTTCTCGCTGCGGCGATAACTGTTTATTACCATGCATACGCACACATACGTAGAAAAACTGTTTTAATAAAATAAGTTCAATATTAAAATTGGCATTTGAAATGTTTCATTTGATTACGAGTGATTGTGAAGCGCGCGCGCCATACATGGAAACGAGTCAAAGAGCAAAAGTGCTATTTCGCGCGCAAGTGACTTGCGTGTGTATGATATGTCTCTCTCTCTCTCTGTGTGTGTGTGTATGTTGATCTCTTGTTGAACGGGTTAGATATCAGAGCAATAAACATGTTTTGTCACATGTTCGTGGCCCATTCTAACACCAGAAATATTTCACCTCTCTGATTCTGAACGTATAAGATGACTCAAAAATAATTGCCCATATCGTTGTAATTGAATGATATTTGAAGCAAACTGCGTACATTCCACGCCAGTGTGTGCGCATTGCCCGCATATTTCATTGCATATATCGCATCTCAAATGAAAAATAAATAAAAGAAAAGTTTATTCGTTGGGCTTTATGGCCGCCACAAAACGCACAGCAATACGACACACAGAGGGAGTGAGATATGGATAAGAACAGTTGTTTATTCGCTCTCTCTCTCTCTCGATTGCCTCGGTCTCAATTTGGCCCACCGTGAATTTATTCATTTGCACATGCCAAATTCAGTAAGTGTTTTGTGTTTGGAATTTTAACGGTGGTGGAGCGCCATCTCCCATCTCTCCCACCCTCTCTCTCTCTCTCAAGTTTCATTTGCATCGGTGTAACACTACACCCGCTAGTTCTTGTATGGCTCTAGAGACATGTCAAAACCATACACACATTTCATATGCAGCACATCAAGCTGTTTGGTGGCGAAGCGGGGCGGGCGGTGGTGTTAGATATACACACCAGTATCAAGAAGTTGACAGTAAAAATGAAGATCATTTAGTTGTTGCGACTTTTCTTTATGCCCATTATAGTATTTTTCTCTCTTTTATAATTTTATTTTTGTGCCATCCATAAAAAGTGCTGCTCATCAGATGGATATAAATGATATAGTACACATGATGTGACGTTATATTGGCAAATGCTTTCTCATTCCACCCAAAGAGAGAGGAACAGGCACACACCACCACCACCACCAATGTCGCTTGAGAGCGAAAAGAGAACCGGTGGAATTGTGGCGAGAGTGAGAGAATGCTTGTCACTTGCTCGTTTTAACAATTGCCGCCACTGCCGTTGTCGTCGCCGAACAAAAACAGCATTAGCATCAGCATCAGCAGCGG